CCAACTATCCAATCAATTGTCAGATTCTATTGACTTCCAACACCGATACAGTTTCATCAGAAGAACTCTTTACAGCAGTAATATGCCTATGGAACAACAACTGAAGATCAGTATCAACAGTTTCTTTTCTAGTTTTGATAACATATTTGGTACTGTTAAGAAAATGAGTATGTAATATTTAAATGTTTTCTTCTGAACTTAGTTCCTTATTATTGACCCACTCACTTTTTATGTACTTGGTGATAGTTGAAATATTATACATATTTATACATAAAAGACATTGCAAAAGCAAACAGATCTATATTGTTCTCAAAATGTGCCATAAAATGAAAATAAATGGGAAGTATCCACTTTTTTTTGGTTTTTCTACAAAAAATAGTTTTCAGCCAAAAATAAAGACATGCACCTTAATATGCTATCAAATACCTCATTAAAAATATAGTGAACTTTATTTTATTCACATCTGACCATTTATAGCAAAGTTACAGTGATTTTTTTCATGAGTTTTTGTCAAACATCCAATTTTCCCACCATAAATGGCCGTATTCCAATAAATGGCCGTATTCCACTACTTGCTTGGACTTCTTAGAACTTCCCACCATAAATGGGTGTATTCCACTACTTGCTTGGACTTCTTAGAACTTCCCACCATAAATGGGCGTATTCCACTACTTGCTTGGACTTCTTAGAACTTCCCACCATAAATGGGCATATTCCACTACTTGCTTGGACTTCTTAGAACTTCCCACCATAAATGGGCGTATTCCACTACTTGCTTGGACTTCTTAGAACTTCCCACCATAAATGGGCGTATTCCACTACTTGCTTGGACTTCTTAGAACTTCCCACCATAAATGGGCATATTCCACTACTTGCTTGGACTTCTTAGAACTTCCCACCATAAATGGGTGTATTCCACTACTCGCTTGGACTTAAAACTTTTGATATAAGGTAGCATCTCTCAACCTCTTTGTTACCAGGGGCTGGCTTGCTGCCTCCCTAAACTGGTGCAGACCACTAAACTGCAAGTTAAACAAAAAATCTTTACTTTTACATAAGCATATTCTGTCAGTTTTTGTGAAATCCCATGGATCGGCAAGGTGTTTGTAATGTACTGACACCTGCCCTTGAAGTGGTGGTTGAGAAGCTGATATATTGGGCATTTATACAGTGGATACAGTGCACCAGGTTTCATTTCTATTGCAATTTGTTGGTTCGATATAAAATTCCTAGTAATATTAAAGGCACTCCCCCCCTCTCTAACATGAAAAGGTTAGACCAATGAAGGTTATTATTTGAGAAATGTAAGTTTTTTATCCTTGTGATCAAAATAGAAGACTGCTAAATGACATTTTGTACTGTTTCTATAGTAATGATAGCCACTGAAGAACAAATGGAATCTGCCAAGTTGCCACTAGAAAATCGAGATTACTGTGCTCACCTTTTACTGAAACATTTTGCATGTCGAGCTGACCAGTTTCCATTTGTTTACAAATGCGCACACGAGAAACACCAGTATCTTGATTGTCAGCATGAAGAGTAAGTCCAGTATTTACTTGTGTATGGAAGTACATTATGCTAATATAATAGTAAATTCACCGACAATGATTTATATAAGCATAGTTAAATGTTTTTATTTTGGGGGAACATACTATATATTTTAACAGATCCTTGTTCTGTTTTTTCAGGTCCAATATTTTCTTTAAATTGAGTGAAAAAATATTTCTTAGATAATTTTTATGTTTAAAAACTTTTCATAGACAGATTGGATATTAAACATTTGTGAAAGAATAATTTTATAGAGATCTAGTCACTAAATCATTTGATTTCTTTAATTTTTGTATTAGAGAGAGATTTAAACAAATAATATTTGTATCTTATTGGTTCATTTTAATATACAGAAATGGGTGCATATAAATTGTATAGGTGACAGTGCAGCATACTATGTCTTCCACCATCTTTTGTTTTAGATGATAGTGCAGTATGTCATCTCTTTAATCATCTGTTTCATTGAAAGTGTAGTTGAGCCATGTCTTCTATTACCTTTTTAGTTGATGAGTGAACCATATCTCACACTTGTATCTTTTAAGTGACAGTGGAATCATGCATCTCTTTAGGTAATGGTAAATATGTCCCATGTCTATCATAGTATATTTAATAACAGCATATTTGTCCCATGTCTCTCATAGTCTATTTAGTGACAGTATATTTTCCCATGTCTCTCATGATCTGTTTAGTGACATTATGTTTGTCCCATGTCTTTCATAGTCTATTTAATAACAGTATGTTTGTCCCATGTCTCTCATAGTCTATTTAATAACAGTATGTTTGTCCCATGTCTCTCATAGTC